TTGTGACCGCTACTGCTACAGTTCCTTCTCGTCTATAGATTTGCTTGTTCTTGTTTGCCTTATTAGAAAACTACAGTATTTGGTGCGTTTCCTAGATCTGGTCTCCAGCATTGCAATAGATTGCCCTGATTGGGGGCTTAGGGTTCATGCTTAAGTGAACCGTCATACTTTACTCGATTGTTTCTCGAATCAATCTGGAGTACGAGATATTGGGAGAGATACCGTCCTCTTGATTGGTTAGGTTCCTTCACGAATTGCTACTGTACGTTTCTTTCCTTGTTCAATTTCTGTCAAAATGTGTGTTAGGGGGGCGAGCATCTGTATATCCGTGCGCCAAAAATCGTTAATTTCTGGCAAATATAAAGAACAAGAATCAGTGATCCTCAATCGTGATGTAACGATGTGAAACCATCTTATTTCGGTTCCACCAGTAACCATTCATCTGAGGCAATGTAGGATGCAAATGCAAACCTCTTGAGTTTCTGTACCTTGCAATCTGCTAACTTGCTTTTGTTTCTTGCTGTTATACTCTCCAGTTAATCTAGTATGTTGCCCTATTGATTGTTTCAGTACATTGACTCCTGACTTGCTGTTACTTACATGTTGCTGTCATATTGCCTCCACGGGCACTGGGCACCTGCAGGTCAGAGAGCGCAGGAGAATCTCCTTGGTGCATTGCCACTTTTGCTACCAACCACATGACAGGAGACAAGAGTCTCATCTCCAACCTGGTACCTGTAAACAACCAAGTTGTCAAAGCAGGGGTAGGCGAGGGGATGCAGGTGTGTGGCAGAGGGTATGTGAACACAGAGACAGTGGTCCTCCCTGACGTGTGGTATGTCCCAGGGCTCACAATGAACCAGGTATCCGTGGGGCAGCTAACCCAAGATCCTGATCTAATTGTTGAGATTGGCTGTGGTGCTTGTCGCATCAGCAAGAAGAGTGATGGGTCTGTTCTCGGTGAAGCACGTTTGAGGTCTGATCATAAGTATGTGGTAGACTTCCTGAAAATTAAGCTGAATTAGGTGTGGAGCTTGGCTGGTGTTTTCAAATGCGTAGAGGGGTGATAGTGATGTTGGCTACTGCTTTCCTTTATATGGTAACGCTGGATTGAAAATGGCTAAGGTCTGGAGTTTATATGGTATTTGCAATTTCTATGATTTAGGATATTGTGTGCACGGTATTTGTGCATATGTTTAACTGTTACATGTTGACTATATAAGAAGTACTTAATGAGTCTATGACCTCTTGGGCATTTAATTTATGCAACTTGGGAAGTCCTTTTCGGCAGTGATAATATAATCCAGTGAGATCTGGTTTCAGCTGTATGCTCTGCTACTGAATTTGTTTTTGATGTGTGACTATCTGTCTGCAATCTGTTGGTGCCACAGTTGTGAACCTGTGCTATATGGTTTTGATGCACATGGTAAACTATGTTTGTTTGATGAATTTGATTCTTGGCATATACTGTATTCCTGATATATGGTTTTATTCATTTTTGGTGGGTTGAGTGGTGCTTATAACTGCACACATGATTTGACAACTTCGCTTCCAAATTTCTAACCAAACTTTCTGCCTGATGGTTGCAAATCCCACAGTATCCCCTTGCATTTGTCTCTTTAGCTGTGCTTAGAGAGTGCATATACTGGTTGGTACAACCCATCTTTTTGTTTACATAAATTTAAGACACTCTCTGTACTGTCTAACCACAGTTTGAGAAAGCTACATGTTCTAAAGGTAGTGTGAATGAGTCTAGTGCGTCTAAAAAGTTACCAGGAAACATGGCAATACAAAATTGAGTGGACTGCTTCTAACTAACTTTGTGGGTAGCTTTCTGCCTGTGTGCCTGCCAATAATAAACTCTGGTGCCTGGGTCAGTGACCATGGAGGCAGTGGTCCTCCCTAATGTAGGGCACGTCCCTGGGCTCTCTATGAACCTGGTGTTAGTGGGGCAGATCACTGAAGATCCTGATTTAGTTATCAAGATTGGTGGTGGTGCATGTCGTATTAACAAGAACAGTAGTGGCTGACGTGTCTGTCATCAGTAAAGTCCATTTGCTACGAGATAGACTTTCTGAATTAGGTGCCTTGATTGGCAGAGCATGATGGTGTCTTCAGATGCATAGAAAGATGGTAGGGATTTCTGCCGCTGCTTTCCTTTTGAATAGTATAGTGCTTAATGTGAATGAGTAAGGTTCAATAAATTCTCTGTTAAATTCAGATTGTCAACTTATATTGGTCTTATAATATTGTATTCACAGCATCTATATATGTTTAGCTGTTATATTCGTGAGTACTGTATGAGTCTCCGATCTTGTAACTCATTGCAGCTGATTCTGGTTTTGCAACTGAATGAGCGTTTTCTGAACAGTGATCACATTAGTCGTGTGTGTCCAGTTACAGCCAGCTGCACTTCTATTTATGTGTGATGTCTATCTGCTAGCTGGTAGCTAGTCAGACTGTTGAGCAGACATTATTGTTTAATGAATTTGGCTATATTATACATATATTGTATTCTTTTATGGTTAAATGTTTTTGGTGGGTAGATGCTATACTGCTTATTCCAGCCATCTGCCTCAACCTTTGTAATGTTAACATTCAGCCTGACTGTATTTCTTGCTTTAGCTTTGCATTAATGCCTTTTCAGTGTGGACCTGTTGCCTTTTGCTCGTGCCTGGTAGTAAGTCCAATTGTTTAGCGACATAATCTGAAGACACACTGTAATCTCCTGCCAGAGTTTGAGAACCCAAGTGACAGTAATATGAAGGAAGTAGTTTGCCTAGTGTGATTGAGATGTTATTCTGAAGCATTCCCAAATCCCCACAGGGTGAATGGCACTTGAGCATTTTGTAAGTTCTCAAAGTTTGAAACTTCCCAATGCAGTTATCTCCAATAGAGAAGGCAACACTAATTTTGAGCTCTCAGCTTCCAACTCACGCTATGCGACTATTAAGATTGTCAGTTCTTAGTAGTCGCCCTTATATAGTTGTTAGTTTAGCTGGTTCGTTTTTTCTCAAAAAAAAAAAAGTTTAGCTGGTTCGTTTTGTGTGTCTGCACGTTGTTACTCTTGACTAAATATCTAACATCAGATGCATGATTCATCTCATTTGGGAGTAATTCCAGGTCTCTTTAGTTTGCTTGCCGTCTTTATACATTTATGAATATCACTGTTATGAATTGTGGTATTTTGACCATTTTTGTTGAGATATTTATCAAGTCTTTGCATCTTGTTAACAAATGGTGCCTTTTCTCTCTCACTTTGCAACATTGATGGTTTACATGACTAGAATTTTTTTCGAGCTTCATTTGAATTAGGTATAAATAGGGTGGGACACATGTCAAATATTGCTGGAATTGGCATTGAAAATTATTGCTACTAAGATGCACATATATTTTCCCTTGAAACAAAATAACACAAAACATGAACAAGCTAAGATCATGCACCGAGGGGAAACAAAAATCATTGGTAACAAGACATAAAAAAGCGGTCGTAGCGACCAAGGCTAATAAATATTGACATATTGTACCCACTGGTGCGAGGTTGATTTAAATTAATTTAAGTTTAATCTTAGCTCTAACTTTTAGGGATGACCAAACAAGCACAATATTTCAAGGGGAAAATGTAAAAAAAATACAAAACAAACGTAGCTAAGTGGCCGATTTGGATCCTTTCATTTTGGAGAAATTAGAATCTACTCAATGGATTAGATTATTTGGCTTGAAATTTGACTTTCCACAATTTTCTCAAGTTCACATTCGAGCCTCTCTCAAATTCATTGGGTGGGAAATGGAATTTGATTATATAGATTATTTCTACTTTTCAACTTATAGCACGTTCTTTAATTCGTTTCTCTAAAGTAGAAATACAACATATAAGTATCCCCTTGTATGGCTAATAATAATTTACAAATATATTCCATATAGAATCATATTAGCTTAATTAATTTGTGCCTAGATTATAATTATTAAGATGAATTCAATTTCAAGGATCCAAACGGGCCCAGCTTAATATATACAGGGAAAGTAGCGTGGCAACCGATGGAACCTATATAAGCCAAGCAACCTTTATTAAACAACTGTTATAAAAAACCCTTTATTAAACAACTAAGGTTGGAAAACGCAGAAAAATAAAAAGACCGTCTATTTTATTTAGTGCTACCTAATCATAAACCAAAGTAGAATTTTTAGGGCACGATAGGTTCCTAGTTCAATTTGTACCTATATAAGGCAAGTTAATTTTATAAGATAGTCTTAAGTTACACTCCCCAAGTTTGGCCAATATCCACACAACTCCCTAAACTAACATTTGGTTTCATTTTCTACCCTAACTTATTTAGTTGGTCAAACCCTTTAACAAGATTTTGTTTTTTTTGCCTCTCCACCTATAAATGTGTTTTAATTTCAAAATTCTTGAGGTGTTAGCCAAAACAACAACTTACATTCAAAAGATACATTATTTTTTTTCATAATTATGTTTCATACAATTATTCTATTTCTAGTGTTAATTTATTGTTAGATGTCCTAACCTGCAAATTTGTGATAAAATTGATGATATATTTTAAGCATAAGCTACAGTGTCAACTATTACTTTACAAAATTTAAACGTAAATCTCAACTTAAACATAGAAATGGTCTAACTGAAATAGCTCAGAAGTAAATTGAATCAAAAGTTAGTTTATGGGTTATCTCGACATTGTCTAAACTTTGGATAAATACTGGACTTTTTTCTAAATTTTATTAAATTGGCTTCCAAGTTCTTTTTTTATTATGAAGTTTGCAATTGCCCACCCGTTTGCAATATTTTGTGAAAGAAATAGGAAGCACGTGGAGGTGGACTTTGCAAACATAGCCAAGCACGTGGGAGTAACATTTTATATTTATAATGGGGTTTATTGCAATTTATTATCCCCGCCGCAATTGGTCCCGCACGAGAGCTACGAACAAGTCAACCGGCCGCCGCCGCCACCGCCACCGCCACCGCGGCCGCCGCCGTCATCGAGATGGCGTCTTCCGCATCACCGCCGGCCTCCAGGTTATGACGGCTACTGACACACTTCCTTCTCGCCTAGAGATATCCTAGTGCTTGCGTGCCTTATAAAAAACTACTAGTATTTGGTGCGTTTCCTAGATCCGGTCTCCAGCATTGCTAGAGATTGCCCTGATTGGGGGGCGTTAGGGTTCAGACTCGATTATTTCACAAATCAACCTGGAGCATGAGATGTTTGAAGAAGCACCATCCTCTTGATTGGTTAGGTTTTTTTCTCACGAATCGGTACACTTTCACCTGAATCAATGTAGCATGTAAATGTAACCCTCTTTGATAGTTTCTGTACCTTTACCCTAACTTGATCTTGTTTCTTGCTATTATTATACTCTCGAGTTGATTTAGTATGTAACCCTATTGATTGCTTTAATACATTGACCCCTGACTTGCTGTTACTTCTTGTTGTCGTACCTAGTGGGTCGAATCCTGACGCCGCCTCCACGGGCGCCGGCAAAAACAGGGCAGTCAACTCAGGGGAGGTTCCTTGGTTCATTGCGACTCGTGCTACCAACCACATGACAGGAGACAAGAGTCACATCTCCAACCTGTACCTGTAAACAACCAAGTTGTCGAAGCAGGGGAAGGCGAGGGGATGAAGGTGTGTGGCAAAGGGTCTGTGAACACAGAGAAAGTGGTCCTCTCTGACGTGTGGTATGTCCCAGGGCTCATTGCGAACTTTGTGTCGGTGGGGCAGCTAACTGAAGATCACAATCTGATTGTTCAGCTTGGTGGTGGAATGTGTCGCGTCAACAAGAAGAGTGATGGGTCTGTTCTCGGTAGAGCACCTTTGAGGCCTTATAGGAAGTATGCAGTAGATTTTCTGAAAATTGAGCTGAATTAAGGTGTGGAGCTTGGCGGGTATCTTCAAATGCATAGAGGGTTGATAGTGATGTCGGCTACTGCTTTGCTTCATTTGGTAGCGCTGAATGGAAAATGGCTAAGGTCTAGTTTTTTTCCCCATGGTTTTAGGATATTGTGTGCACAGTATCTGTGCATACCTTTAACTGTTACATGTTGACTATAGAAGAAGTAATGGACGAACCTGTGGCCTCTTAGGCATTTATTTTTGGTTTTGCAACTGAAGGGAAGTCCTTTTTGGTTGTGATAATGTAAGCCAATGAAATCTGGTTTGAGCTGTATGCTCTGCTACTGAATTTGTGTCTGATGTCTGACTATCTGTCTGCGATCTCTTGGTGCCATAGTTGTGAATCTGTGGTATATGGTTTGGATGCACATGGTAAAGAATGTTTGCTTGATGAATTTGACTATTGGCACATACTGTATTCCTGATATATAGTGTATTGGTGTTATTCCTTTTTGGTGGGTAGAGTGGTGCTTATAACTGCATAAATAATTTGAGCACTGTGCTTCCAAATTCTCACCAAACTTTATGCTTGTCGGTATCCCCTTACATTTGTTGCTTTAGTTGTGCTTAGAGTTTATATGGTATGTGCAATTTCTATGGTTTAGGATATCTTGAGCACCGTATCTGTGCATGTTGACTATATAAGAAGTACTGAATGAGCCTATGACCTCTTGGGATTTAATTTATGCAACTTAGAAAGTCCTTTTCGGCAGTGATAATATAATCCAGTGAAATCTGGTTTCAGCTGTATGCTCTGCTACTGAATTTGTGTTTGATGTGTGACTATCTGTCTGCAATCTGTTGGTGCCACAGTTGTGAACCTGTGGTATATGGTTTTGATGCACATGGTAAACAATGTTTGTTTGATGAATTTGATTCATGGCATATACTGTACTCCTGATGTATGGTTTTATTTATTTTTGGTGGGTTGAGTGGTGCTTATAACTGCACACGTGATTTGAGCAGTCTGCTTCTAAATTTCTAACCAAACTTTGTGCCTGTTGGTTTGCAAATCCGACTGTATACCCTTGCATTTGTTGCTTTATCTTTGCTTCGAGTGTCCATATGCTTGTTGGTATGATCCATCTTTTCGATTACATAATTTAAAGGTACTCACTGTACTGTCCAACCACAGTTCCAGAAAGCAACATGCACTCTGTTCGTTTAGGCTTGTTTGGCTTATAAACTGTACTTTTTCAGCAAACGAACAATATTTTTCTTAGGCTAGTTACCAGGAAACAAAGCAATACAAAATTGCGTGTAGGTGCTTTGCGAAGTGCTTAGCTAGTTAGACCACTGCTAAATGCACTTGCTCTATGTTTAGGCCCAATGTTAGTGAGGTTTGCATACCTCTTGCTCTTAAGGTGCTTGCGCGCACCGTTGTTGTACTCGGAGGGGCTTGTAGTCTTGTGTGACCACACCAATCGCGTTTGTGGTGTGGCCGTCACCGTGTACCAGAGGGAACGAAGCCCACAGCGGTTCGGCCGGAAGCTTGATAGTGAAGACGGTGGGGAACGGTCCGAGAGAGGTATTCTGGAGACACACTTGCGCGTGGGGAAGACCCAGTTCTATCCACAGAGTTATCCGACTAGGAGGTTGGCCCTTGCAAGGGCTTCCTTGCGAGGGGCTCTGACAAGGAATAGTGGAAAGTTTACGCGCTTCTCGATACCTCGGTTAAAGTACCAGAGTTATCAACGGGAGTTTGCATCACTATGTCAATTAAGCTTCCGTATTTACATTGTTATCTTGGTTGTGTGCTTTACATTTTCTAGCTTAGTTGATAGGCTAATTGATAGGATTGGAACTTTAGTTGCATAACTCTTTTACGGTAGACATAGCAACACACCTAGCAAAATCATAGTTGCATATTTAGATAGTTTACTTAATTTTATAGGTTCTGCTAAGGTTAGAAAATAGAGGTCATAGTTAGAAAATAGATTTTTAAGTTGCCTAATTCACTCCCTCCTAGATGTCATGGTTCCTTCAACATTAGGATGCAAATTTTACTAGCTTCAGTTACATGTTTAGTATGTGTTAGAGTTCTTTGACGTGACTTAGTGGCCTCTCCTTTGAATCGTGGACTTATATACTGCTTTTTTTCCTAGCTAGATAGATATCTATGAGGACGTAATGGAAACTACAATCATGAATGTACAATGCAAATTAGTCCTAATTCAACCGTAACCATGACCAATGAAAGAAACACCAAGTTAGGGGAATATGTACTCGCAATAGTAGGGTAGGATGCTTTATGTATGTTAACATTCTAAGAACATCATGATCAAATACAAGACGAGATCATATGGATGGGCATTCGCACCATTGCATGTATTGTGGTTTATTCAGACAGGGTCCAATAAGTCTATATGAGTCTGATCTCGCCTCATGCACATTGTGCCACCATACTGAATAAGCAAGAGATCGATGATCAAATGTTACAATTATCCGTTGGTATAAGACTAGCGTGACATAACGTATGGGTAGGGTACTTGCATAGTCCATAAGCTCGATCAGTATCTGGAGACCTAGCTCGGGTCACTGGAAAAGATTAAAGGGGCAATCGAATTCGCCCGACATTTTTTCTTCATCTCTATGATATATCTCTCGCGGGATTCTAACCACAAACATTGTTTGGTTCTTCTGATTGCTCTGCTGTTTGTACCAATCATGCAGCCGATGCTCTGTGTGTCGGCAAATATTCTCGTGGTTAACCAGTTTTCATGGACGGGCCCGAGTTAAAGTTACAAATAAAGCAGAACTTCAATTGTCCAGCTGATGCCCAGATTGGCTCTAATCATGCCTGCAAAGCAGGTAACAACGTACAGTACGATAAAGTTGAGATTCTGGTGATGGAGTGTCGATCAGGTAATAAATAAAGAAATAAAGCTCTAGCTCTAGCTTCTGTCGTGACAGGTAATTAAGCTGCTCCAGCATTTTGTTTAGGGTCCGCTGTGTTGGGCTGCGAAAGCCGAAAGGCCATGGAGGTCGGAGGAGGAGGGGGCCGGGCTTCGTTGTGCCAGGCCAATGAGGTTGCCTGCTGCCACGGAATTGATCGGAGAATCCAATCATTATGCTCTGTCGGCGTCATACGTCTTTGAACAATGCCCCTCCTCGATCTGTTGCTGCTTTCTTCTCTTTTCCTTCTTTTATAAAGTTGATGATATATAAAGACTAGCATGCAGATGCAGGAGCCTCGCTCAAGAAGCAATGTAATGTATTTATTTGCTGAAGGACGAGAGATTCCCTAATTAGCTCGCTAACTGTGAAATAAAGAGCCTTATAATAAGAAGCAAAGGGTTTACTGAAGATTCCCTAATTAGTAATTGTGAACAGGCAATACCATGGAATTTTGGAGATATAGCCACCAACATTTCAATGTCCTATGACCTGGAAGAAAAAAGAAACAAATAAACCAATATCAGGCAGCAAGGGAATACATACATATATATTGTCCGATCCCTCCCAGAGTCCCAGCATGTAGGACAGCCGACAGCAGTCATATATACAAAATACATCCAAAGAAAAGAGAGATTAATCATCTATGAACGGACATTTGTAAGACGGATCAAGTTTTTTTTACGACCAAACGTTCTCTTTTCTTTGTAACAAAAAAGTAAGTATATTAATAGGTCCATATATAAATGTGATTGGTCCTGATATTTTATATTAATATTAATACATTAACCAAAAGTGAACGTGATAGATAGGTCAATCTAGTATTTTGTATTAACCAACTTTGAAACGTACGTGTGACCAATTTTATTTTTTTCTTTAAAAAAATATTTTATTTAGTATAATGCCAGAGGTGGGTAATTTCTACAAAACAAAATAGATCCAAGGGTTAGAATGGCTAGAGTCTTTTGATTTGATGGCCTGATGTTTCTGATTAATGTGAGATTTTCTAGTATTTATAATTTTTTCCTAACGCGTCTTGTGAGGATTAACATGGAGACTCCGTTGGGGCCTCTAATTAGTAATAATAAATTGAGATTTTCTTGTATTTTCGAAGTATAGCTGGCTGTAGCTTTTTAGAGTGTCTACCGCTATGCCATTATCAATTGTTCCACTATTACTCGTATTGATATTTTAGCTCTACTAAACATTATTATTTGGTTTAGCCACGATATATACATTTAGCACCGCTAATCCTGACCGAGATAGATATTCATTATTTAGTCTGCAGGACTGTCACGGGTTTGGAACCGTGACAAACATCGTGGTTGTCGAAGTGTTTGTGCTCTCTGGGTGTTCATCGGTGTACTTCCTCAGTGACTAAGATACCGACCTTCTCTAGCTGAGGTTATCTGGTGGTCTCTCTCTAGTTTTTGGATTGGGACCCCTCTACATGGGCCGATCCTCCCCTTACATTGTGAGGAGGGCTCGGGTACAAGTCGTTTTGGGTTACAGTGCGTGGTCTTCGTACACCAGGTGTGGGAGACCTCCTGCACGGTGTGGATGGAATCGTGTTGTGCACCAGGTGCTACCTTCCATGTCATGGGTCGTGCTAGCGTTGGCTCATCTATGCCCGGGCATGGCGGCGACGCTTGCGCATGTGGATGTGAGGGAGGACGGTGGCAACGCGGCCGGAGATCCGAGCCGGAAGGCGAGGAAGCTAGCGGATTTAAAGGCATGCTAGATAGCTGGTGGCCTCGTGGGTGCGGAAAGCAGGCAAGCATAGGGGCTCAACAGACAAGAATGACTCTTCAGTTCGTGCACCTGCATTTGAAATCTTCTACAACTAAAAAAAAATAAAACGTGAATAATTTTTGATAGGACATTTTGTTTTGTTCGTCCGTCTACCCACCACCACCGTGCAATACCTCGCTCGCTTCCGCGCTCTGCCTTCGCCCTCGAATCGCTCGCGTAAGTCACGCCTCCAATCGCTCTCTCCCCATCGCGAGATCCCTCTCCACCGTCGGCTCACACGGGGCTGGTGCGCTGCGTGGCCGCAGCGCCGCGGGCGGGGCTGGCGGCGTCCGGCGGTGCGGACGACTCCGCCCGCCTCTACGACCTCGGCCCGCTCCTGGACCCCTCGGCCACCGTCTCTGTGCTCGCCTTCTACTCCCGGGGCCCCGTGCCGCGGAACCTCCTGGCCGCCTGCGACGACGGCGCGCTCCTCCTCTACGACGCCGACGGCTTCGCACTACTCGCCACGCTCCGCGCCTTCCCGCGCCACGAGGCCGTCGAGGGGCTCGCCGTGCACCCGTCGGGCAGCGTCGCGCTCGCCGTCGGCCGCGCGGGGGCGCTCGCCATGCTCAACCTCGTCCGTGGCCGCCGTAGCTTCGCCTGCCGCCTCGAGCGCCCCGCGTCCGCGGTCGCCTACGCTGAGGACAGGGACGGCTGGGACCGGTTCGTCATGGCTGCTGAGGAGAAGGTCAGCGTGCACGATTCCGTGGATGCCAGGATTATTCATCAGATGGACTGCGGCAAGAGGGTTCTCGCCATGGCGCCTGCCAAGGTACCACCATTGCCTGGGCATCTTGTTGATTTGGTCATGAAATGTTTAGGATTCAACTATTATTAAAAGTGGATTACCGTAAGGAGCTGATAAATTGTTGAAATCTATCTTCTTGTTGAAATGTTGATGGCAAATTCAGCTTGCATCAGGCTTGTAACATGCTGAATTGACATCTAGGTGCAGGCTCATATTTTTATTATTGACTTGCGAGTATATTAGGATGCAAATTGTTGAAATTTATCGTCTTGTCCAATGCAACTTCGGGTTTCATCAGCCTTTGGGTTGCTCATGACATGCTGAATTGACATCTAGGTGTAGCTTCATATTATTATTATGACTTTACGAGTGAATTAGCATGCATATTGTTGAAATTTGTTGTCTTCTCGAATGCAACTTCAGTTTTCATCAGATTTTCAGTTGCCCATGGCATGCTGAATTGACATCTCGGTGCAGCTCCACATTATGACTCTAGAGTTTAGACACTCATTATTTCGTGATATGTGTACTAGCTCTTCAAATTGATTTATATCCACTACCTTATTGTCTTCCCACTGATGCCTCTATTACCTTTTGCACTTTGCTCACATGTTTTTTTTGTGATTTTTTTCAGAATGGAGTCCTTTACACTGGAGGCGAGGACCGTTGTGTTACTGCTTGGGATGTGTCCAGCGGCAAGGTCTCCTCACGCATTGAGGGTGCTCATGCAACTCGTGTAAAAGGGGTTGTTGTTTTCGATAATCGCAAGGGTGGATCAGAGCTCTCCAATCTAATTGCTTCTGCTTCGTCTGATGGTGTCATAAGGATATGGGACATTCGGACAATTGGGAATGAAAAGCCTACTCCATTAGCAAAGGCTAATACAAGAGCAAGGCTAACTTGTCTTGCTGGAACGTCACTGAAATGTAAGCCACAGAAACTTCATAATGTAGTGAGTATTGTACACTGTCCTAACAAGTCCATACCAGAAACTTCATAATGTACACTGTCCTAACAAGTCCTTATTATAGCATAGATGTAAATAATCATGTCGTATAAACATGCCTTGAGTTAGTTTTCACAGACAAATTACAGGGCAATGTTAAATCAAGATTTTCATATCCTGATCTTCACTGAGAAAATATGTTCAGTTGATCTGTCAATATCCTCATTTGTATTCACTGGCTCACTGCTGCTCTTTCCATTATGTTAACAGTATTCTTTTGCTTGTTAAGAAGCATCAGTTCTCATGTATTAGTGGTTTTTATTTAAGATTATTAGGACAATAAAAATTTCTTCTCCATTTAATAACATGTTATCTTCTATTGTTGCCTAACAATGTTTGGTGCCTATTTGAGATCTTATGGTGTACACAAAGTCCATGATCCTTTTTATTCAACTAACTTTTGTTTTCCATGTATAATAGTTTTTTCTTTAGCTTTACTTGTTATGTGTAATGTGTTAATTCATTTGTTAAGTACCCTGTTGATTATCCGCACATAATATGGCTCTGATGATTTACAGGAGGCCAAGGAACCTACAAGCGGAGTGAAGGGTTGAAGCAATTTTTTGACAAGGGGCTAGGCGTCTGATTTTGCATTGTTTAGGTTAGCTGAATTAGAAAACCTGGACATCAAAGAAGAATTGAAGATGAAAGATCTGGCATGCAACCATTATCTGGGTGCATTTGAAATGTATGATAGTCAGCCCATTATATACACCAACATAGTTTGGCTTCAGTGTGTGAACTGCAAAACTTATTATGAGATTGTGTTATTTGATTGTACGACAAGTTTTGCAATTAGAACCATTTTCAGTACTAGCATCATCACCTACGGGATGATTTCTCTGTCAAAAGGGTCATCTAATCTATGACAAGTTTTGCAGTGAGAATCATTTCCAGTATTGACTGTGCAATTTACATTTGTTGTGGGTGTATGGCTCACTACATGCAGATCTGTGTGGTGATATTGATGCACCTGTTAATATTCTTACGCCGCATAATAATGTAGCTGAAAACCAATGCCTCAGCCCTGTTTCTTAAAACATGCCCTGTTTCATTTGATATGTGCACAAAAGGTACTAGATCATGCTTGGATATTTTTTAACTACTTTTACGATTTATCGCATGGTAAAAGAAGAATCTGCTTGAACTATAGAACACTCTGCAAATCTCCTCTGTCCAAATATATACCTATCAGTTATACGTGAAGATTTACTACATCTTTCTCTTGTCTTATGAAGCTTGATGCAATAATTTAATCGGTCAGTCATTATACTAATACATGTCATATGTCCTTGTACTTTAGCTTATCTGCCATTACCTGCTTGTCTTTTTCTTGTCAGGAAGTTCAGGAATGAAGAACAATATATACTTTCATTTACACAAGTTTTGAATTTAAGGTTTTATATGAGACCTTTGTAAGGAAAATGGACCCTTGACCCATTTACTTTGGATTTTGGTGTTTGATGACCAACACAACCAAATTGGACTAATGAATTTGCAAGTGTTTGTTTTGTAGTCTAATAGGGTGCAAGACATGACTTGGACGAAGGCGACATGATGATATGATAATCAACACCTCAAGCAAGACCTTAGAAGCACAAGAAAAGACCCAAGATGTCAAGCAAAGTCCAAGCATGAAGATAGGAACCAAGCCGTGCGCAAGATCACGAACAAACGAGCTCGCAGATGCGACCGGACGCTGGACCGGACGCTGGAAGCGCGACCGGACGCTGGACCGGTGGCTCGGCAGACAGGCGACCGGACGCAAGGACCAGACGCTGGCGGCAACCAACCGGACGCAGGAACACAGCGTCCGATCGAGTACAGAGAGGTTTCAGGCGCGCGAAACTACGACCGGACGCGTCCGGTGGCAGGCGACCGGACGCTGGCAGCGTCCGATCGGTAGTTCGCGGCTACAACGGTCGGGACGACCGGACGCGTCCGGTCAGGACGATCTCAGCGTCCGGTCAGTAGCAGATTTGCGGGAGTTCGACCCCAACGGCTACTTTCTTAGTGGAGCTTATAAATACAACCCCAACCGGCCATTTGACAAGTGTGGAGCTGAGGAAACATATCAAGAGTGTTGATACACCATTTGAGTGATCTCCACATGCATAGTGCTTAGTGTTTTATTAGGTGATTAGCATAAGTGCTTTGCGAAGTGCTTAGGTTGATTAGACCACCGCTTATGCGCTTGCTCTAGGTGTTTGTCTAGTGTTTAAGTGAGGTTTGCATACCTCTTGTCACCCCGTGCTTGTGAGCACAAGTGTTGTACATCGGAGGGGCTTGAAGTCTTGCGAGATCACACCAACCGCGTTTGTGGTGTGGCCGCCACCGTGTACCGGAGGGAATAAGGCCCGCGACGTTTCGGCCGGAAGCTTGATAGTGAAGACGGCGGGGAGCATCCGGGAGAGGCTTGCCGAGAGGCACATCGGAGACCCACTTGCGCGTGGGGAAGACCCGAGGCTATCCACGGAGTTACCCGACCGGGAGCTTGGCCCTTGCGAGGGATTCCTTGCGAGGGGCTCCAACGAGGACTAGGGGGAAGCTTGCGCGCTTCTCGATACCTCGGTAAAAATACCGGAGTCGTCGACGGGAGTTTGCATATCTCTACCTTGCTCTTTAGCTTCCGCATTTATATTGATTACTTTACTACGTTTGCGGTAGAGATAGCAACACACTAGCAAAACCATAGTTGCACATCTAGATAGCTTGTCTATTACATAGGTTTTGCTAGGGTTAGAAAAAGAGGCCATAGTTTAGAGTTAGATTTTTAAGTTGCCTAATTCACCCCCCCCCTCTTAGGCGTCCACGTGTCCAACAAGTGGTATCAGAGCCGGTTGGCTCATATTTGGACCTTTGGCTTAACCGCCGTTGAGCCGACGCTATTGTAGAGTGGTTGGGATGCATACCGCTAGGCCTCCACAATTTGACGGCACTAACTTCCCATACTATAAAGCTAGAATGGCTTGCCACCTTGAGGCGGTTGATTTGGGTGTATGGAGAGTCACTCGTGACGGGATGAAACCCATCAAGAATCCCGAAAAACCCACAAAGAGTGATGAAAAAGAAATGCATTTTAATGCTAGAGCTAAGAATTGCTTGTTTGAATCATTTAGCATGGATGTGTTTAACCAAGTGTTCACCTTAAATACGGCACATGAAATTTGGTTAAAACTTCAAGAGCTCCATGACGGTACAAGTAATGTCCGTGAGCAAAAACATTGTCTAGCTAAGCAAAATTATGATTCCTTTGCTATGAATGATGATGAGCTTGTTCGTGATATGTATTCTCGATTGAATCTAATTATCAATGAGCTCCATTCAATAGGATTATTAAAGCTAGATGATGCGGACATCGTGAGGAAGATCATCTCCGTTCTACCACAAAAGAAATATGCAAGCATCATCACCATCCTTCACAACATGGAGAACTTGAGCACCATGACCCCGGGCATTGTCATTGGCAAGCTAGTGGCATTTGAAATGTCACGTAAGATGGGTCAAGGAGAAGCATCTTCATCAAGCAAAGGCAAAGCTCTCGCTTGTAGCGAAAAGAAAAAGATGAAGGGCAAGAAAGTTGAGTCAAGCTCAAGCTCAAGCTCCTCAAGTGAAGAAGAAGAAGATGAGGATAATGATGATGATGAACAAGAATCAAGTGATGATGATCAATCTTCCTCCTCCACCTCCGACCTTGATGAAGAATCAATCAAATTAATCAACAAGGTGGAGAAGATGATCCAAAGGCTCAATGTCAAGGGTGTGCCCATCCAAATTCAAGATCTTATTTTCACCAATCAAAGAAATGAGCAAAGAAAGAGAGGATGCTACGTATGCGGCGAGATGGGGCACTTTGTGGAAGGTTGTCCAAACAAGCCCACACCCAAGACAAAGAAGAAGGCGTGCAAAAACAAAGCCCTCACAACAATAAGGTCATGGGATGATTCTTCAAGTGAAGAAGAAAACCATCACAAGAGGCGAGGTCATAAGCACTCATCATCAAGCTCTTCTCGTGTGTGCCTTATGGCACGAGGTAACAAAAGCTCATCCTCTAGTGAGAGTGATAGTGATGATGATTTGCCTTCTTACAATACAATTGTGCAACAAAATCTTAAATATGCTAAAGTTTACACTAGTCAACAAAAGAAGCTCAAAACTTTAAAAGAAGAGCTAGGTAGTTCACAAGAAGCATACAAGAATTTGCTTGAACAATATGAAAACTTTGTAAATCTCAATGTTGAACTATCTACTAAAATTGAGCAACTTGAGGCTAGTGCAACAACAAGTGCATGCACAATTAATGATAAGCAACTTGAAAAGAAAAATGAAAAATTAAAAGAAAAGTTAGCTAGCTCACAAAATGATTATCAAAGTTTGCTTGCTAAAATGGAAATCATGTGCAAACATTGTGATGAGCTAACAAATCAAGTTGCTAATCTTGAGGCCGTAAAAAATACCCCCACCAAGGCATCTAAAAGAAATGACATAATTAAAAAGGATGCATCTACCTCTTGCAATGATTTATATTTAGACTCACCTTTGTGTAACCAAGCTTGTGTTAAGAAAGTGATTGTAGATACATGCACACAAGAGGTTGCAAAAGAGAATGAGCAACTCAAGCAAGAAGTAGCTCGCCTCACCAAGGACTTGACTCAAATGAAAGGCAAGGCGAAGCAAACCCAACTTCATCAAGATAACACCGTCAAGGGAGTGAAGAAGCTTGATGAAGGACAAACCGTGGTTTGCTACATGTGCCACAAAGAAGGCCACAAGTCCTATGAGTGCAAGGTGAAGAATGGGGGAGGAGCAAAGAAGAAGGAGAAAAAGCAAACAAGCAAGCTCTCCAACACCTACACCAACAAGGTGGACAAGAAGGCCTCCACACCTTATCTCTTGAAGAAGAAGAAGAAAAATGACAAGGTGGTGGCCATCAAGGTGAACAAGCAAGCAAACAATGGGGTCAAACGCTTTTAGGTGCCAAAGGAAATCATTTCCAACATGAAGAGCACCAAGAAGGTTTGGATCCCGAAAGGGAAGTAAGAAGTCCGTCGGTCCTCGGGGAATTTGGAGTCTTGGCAAAGTATGGGTGCATTTCATGGGGTGCATCATGTTGGACAAAGTCATTGCCAAGTGGGTTAGTGGATACTATGGACCTAAATTCCTCTTCCCATGTTAGGTAACTAGATGTTATTACTTTTTAATTGGTACATCTTGCAATTAGATTTTTCTACAATTGGTATCTTTAAGCATCTAGTTACTCTTCATGCCTAGGGTTGCATTTGCATGCTTATATCTTTTGTCATGCATACACTAGGTATTTCATATGGTAGGCTTGCTCGGTCTCATTTGTAACCCTTGGAGCAAACCTACATGGTTTAAAATTGCTTAGGAGCACGGCACATAGCTTGTCTTACTATTGTTTATCTAATATGTGCCAAAGTCCAAATTGTAGATAATTTTCTCCCAAATATCATCTTTCAAGTGGTATTTTGACTCCAAAATCAATTGTGCATGAGTACTACAAGTATTCCATGTCTCCATGCACAAATTTAGGGGGAGGATCATCTACAAGATGGACGTTTTGAGACTAACACCTTTTTCAAGTTTATCATGTGTGTAGTAGTCTCATTGCAAGGAAAATGGAGTCCCCGAAGAGAAGCATCGTTCTTCAATTGACATCATCATGTTGATTTCATTTCATATTTATATGCTTTCTCCATGCATTATATAGATTAAACTCTCTTGTGCAACAAATTGCTAATTATGCATATGCTTTGCTTTCTACCATATGTATGCATATATTTAGGGGGAGCTTAGTCTATATAATGCGAGAGTCAAATTTTGTGATCCATTTCTCTCTATACACAAAGGATCATGAAATTTGACCCTCCCTTGTGCTACTAATGTCTTCCTTTTTAGTGTTTGATGTCAAAGGGGGAGAATTTGAAGGACCAAAAGCAAGCATCAAGTTGATGTCTACAAGTGGTAATGGTCCGAGAAAGGGAGGAAAGTGAATTATATATTAGTCTATGTAATGGGAGAATTTTTTTTAGAAAGATAGGCTTTAATCCATAATATCACATGGGGACATTTGCAAGGGCAAGACATGCTTTTGAGTAAAGTTTTAATTGGTATCTATCAATTAGTATCATATAACCTTGCCCTTTGCATTGCATCCTAGCAAGTAGATAATTTTTAAATTTAAAATTTTTATCATTTGCTTGCTTTGGTCGTGTTGTCATCAATCACCAAAAAGGGGGAGATTGTAAGGAAAATGGACCCTTGACCCATTTACTTTGGATTTTGGTGTTTGATGACCAACACAACCAAATTGGACTAATGAATTTACAAGTGTTTGTTTTGTAGTCTAATAGGGTGCAAGACATGACTTGGACGAAGGTGACATGATGATCTGATAATCAACACCTCAAGCAAGACCTTAGAAGCATAAGAAAAGACCCAAGATGTCAAGCAAAGTCCAAGCATAAAGATAGGAACCAAGCCGTGCGCAAGATCGCGAAGAAACAAGCTCATAGATGATGCGATCGACGCTGGACCGACGCTGAAGCCTTGACCGGACAACGGACCGGTGGCTCGGCGAGACAAAGCGACCGGACGCAAGGACCGGACGCTGGCGGCAACCGGACCGGACGCAGGAACGCAGCGTCCGATCGATCGAATCTGAAGAGAGTTCTAGACGCTGCTGAATCAAGGCGGACGCGGCGTCGTCAGAGGGCGATCTCGGCGTCCGGCCAAGATGTGTAATTCTGGAGTTCGACCCCAACGGCTACTTTCTCAGTGGGGCTTATAAATACAACCCCCAACCGACCATTTGACAAGTGTGGAGCTGAGGAAACATATCAAGAGTGTTGATACACCATTTGAGTGATCTCCACATGCATAGTGCTTAGTGTTTTATTAGGTGATTAGCATAAGTGCTTTGCGAAGTGCTTAGGTTGATTAGACCACCGCTTATGCGCTTGCTCTAGGTGTTTGCCTAGTGTTTAAGTGAGGTTTGCATACCTCTTGCCACCCCGTGCTTGTGAGCACAAGTGTTGTACATCGGAGGGGCTTGAAGTCTTGCGAGATCACACCAACCGCGTTTGTGGTGTGGCCGCCACCGTGTACCGGAGGGAACAAGGCCCGCGGCGTTTCAGCCGGAAGCTTGATAGTGAAGACGGTGGGGAGCATCCGGGAGAGGCTTGCCGAGAGGCACATCGGAGACCCACTTGCGCGTGGGGAAGACCCGAGGCTATCCACGGAGTTACCCGACCGGGAGCTTGGCCCTTGCGAGGGATTCCTTGCGAGGGGCTCCAACGAGGACTAGGGGGAAGCTTGCGCGCTTCTCGATACCTCGGTAAAAATACCGGAGTCGTCGACGGGAGTTTGCATATTTCTACCTTGCTCTTTAGCTTCCGCATTTACATTGATTACTTTACTACGTTTGCGGTAGAGATAGCAACACACTAGCAAAACCATAGTTGCACATCTAGATAGCTTGTCTATTACATAGGTTTTGCTAGGGTTAGAAAAAGAGGCCATAGTTTAGAGTTAGATTTTTAAGTTGCCTAATTCACCCCCCCTCTTAGGCGTCCACGTGTCCAACAACCTTTTAAACATATTTTTTTGTTAGCTATTTTGCAGACTGAACAGTTAACCATTTTGATTATTATACCTGTCTATTTAGCTTATCAGTTAACTGACGCCTACCTCTTGCCTCACATCTACTTGTCTTTTTGTTGTCAAGAATATTAATTGGCTGATTTTGTTAGAGTTGCCTTTGGTATGCCAAGTTGTATTTCAGAAAATTGTTGACTTGAGAATAGTAGGCTGAACTTTAGCCAGTTGGAGCAGGAGCTCCAGCGTGCTCGCCAACAGGTATGATCGTCACATACTCATCTTGTGTTCTTTGGATTCGACAAAATCTGCAGTTCCAGTTGAACAAACTATTTTTTCAACGTTTTGCTACTTGTTCAGGGCATTTTTATTCCTACTCTGGGAGACCAGCCTCATTCAATAGGTGAAAATGGTAATTTGCTGTTTTTTTTGTGTGTCAAATGTTTAGATCACACTGGACAGTATCCTGAACTAAGCTGTTATCCATATTTCTAGGTGCTTTGGCATTTGACATGGACTATGCTGGATGGCAAGATGATCACATTAAGCAGATAAATGAACTGAGGGCTGCACTCAATGCACATGCTAGTGACGATGATCTTCGGCGTATTATCGACAGCTTCATGGCACATTACTACGAAGCTTTTAGGCTTAAGGGTGTAGCAGCCAAGGCAGACGCTATTCACGTGCCGTCAGGAATGTGGAAGACCCCTGTCGAGAGGTGTTTTTATGTGGTTAGGTCAATTTTGACCGTCAGAGATTCTAAAGGTTTATGGTCTCTCCTCACTTGTTCTTATTGCGTCATGTGCTTCTGTCAAAGCTGAAAGGCTTTCCGGTTTCTTTTTACACAGTTGCTTGCAAGACATCTGGAACCCCTTACTGAACAGCATTAACATTGGAAGGCCCACCAAGACACCAAGATATTGCTATTCCGATCTTTGGTATTCTAACTCTTTTCAACATGTGTTATTGTGGATGCACACATCACATGACTGCAAAGGCCATTGCACATGAATCGGACATAGCATGAATCTCATGCATATAAATATTAGACAGGTGAACAATATTTGAGGAGGGCTCTTCCAATTTAAGCTTGAAGTCCACCTGAACCACCTCATGCATATCAATTAACCATATTTTTCTGGACTTGACTCTTGTTGGTAGATTGATTTTTTATGGTATATCAATTAATTTTTTTCCGATAATGATATCAATTAGTTATTGGATCACCGGAGTGTGTGATTGGATAAATTGTTAGTGTTTTAAATGGCATCTTGGAATTTTCTTTCTACAATTATGGAGTGCAAACAAATTCTAGCTTACACTACATATGTACATGCTTGTATGTATACAACTGAATAATGTTGTAACATTGCTGGGATGTGGAGGAAGCCAAAGCTGTAGCATGCTTGGAGGGGATTCGGTAGAAGTAGAAACAGAATCTGTAGTATGCTCGAGTCTAACAGCTCGTGAGTTTATTTCTTTTTCTTTTGTTGATACATGCAAATACAACCTAATCGCTCGCATCGATCGCCAATGATCAGCACGAAGGCTGATAGCTACAAAGCTCAAGAATTGAGAAGTTTGGAGTGGAGCGAAATAAAGTTGTGCATAAACGTGCATGTTTGGCCAATATGTCATGTCAAAGACTGAGTATTGTTTTTAATTTTGAGTCGAGAGTGATATTGTTGAATCCGTGATAATAAAGCTCTATTTGGCAAAGAGCTAGGTGTCCTATTTAATTTTGGATCAAGATCTTTTGAAACTAAGTATTGTGTAGGTAAACCATTTTTTGTTGTGTGATTTGCATTACTAAATGTCACCGTAGCGTTAGCACGGGCATTATACTCTTAGATTTACCTTGCAGTATACGGACGTAGTGAATGTACATATTCCTGGATGGAATGAGGATGTCTCCAAATGAAAATTCAGACGAGAAGGAAACATTGCAGATGACATAGATGGGTAACTAACACAGAGTCACTATAGCTTGCAATAATAATACTTACGAGTTAACTATTTCTATATATCGCTGATCATGAATCTTGCCACAGACACTTAAGTGGATATCTTATTCTACAGTATATGTCTGCGTGGAATAGACCAAAAGGCACACATATTTATATGGTGAGTATAACACTTTGTTTTAAGTTTGTGGAAGATTTTTTAAGAGACGCAGTATTACCCATGCGACAGGCACTAATATTGACATATATACTCGAGCCTGTGTACAGGATGGTATGGAGATGCGACGGAACTTATTCGTGGATTTATTGGCGCACGAAAGAAATGGATAATAGAGATTTCTTCCAGCCGATATAAAACATTATCTTAGGCGCATCACGAAAAGGTCTATAAAGTAGAGTTTGTAAGCCTATGACGCCGTGTTCTCCGTGACTGTTAATTTCACAAACTTTACTTTTTTGATTAACTGTAACTTTAACGTTGGTATTTAATTTTATAGTATTGTTATCTTATCGTACGATGCATGTGTTTTTAGTATAAAAGTTTAGTTGTCCCGTAGCAATGCACGGGCACACTACCTAGTAATAGATAGCAATGCCTCAACTTTTGTCCTGTTCGCTTGGCTGATAAGCCATGGCTGAAAGTACCGTTGACTGATTTGCTGTGAGAGAAAAATACTGTTGGTGGATGTGAGCTGTGACGCGATGGTGATTGTTGATTTAATATGATGGATGCCATGGCTTCGCAAAATTGTAGAAAAAACTGCTATTGGGGCTCTCCTATTTAGGTACAGTAGATTTGATAAGTTATCTTAAAGGTAGTAACTAATTCATACCACTGAGGGTGCCCTAATGCCTCTTAATGGCCTTTTCTTAAACCTGTCAACCTGGTCGAACCGAGTTTGCTCGCTACGGTGTGGGATGGATTGCTCAGCTAACCCATATAGGCTGCTGAGTCATGCTCAAACAAGTTAGAACAACACGTTTCCAAGGATGGTACGAAGTCTGCCCAATTCCAATATGTATTAGGTTCTGACATATTTGCTAATAAAAAGAAAATATCTTTTTCCTTTTAATTCCTGCACAAGCTGTGGCCCACACGTTTTCTTATCTTTAGCATTGGCCTTTTTCTTACCGGCCCATCAACCGACGCAAGCCCATCTGTCGCTCCGCCTCCTGCAGCCCAGCGCTGCAGCCTACAAGCCAGCTGCGAGCGCCCTCATCCCACCCTAGCGGGCCGTCGTGCAACCCCGGGCCCACGGCCCACGCGAGGCTTTATTATATTACCACCACGGTGCCGAACCCTAGCGATCGAGTAGAGCGCGCCGCTGTCCCTGCTCGTCCACACGATAGCTCTGAATCCGCCCGGCGCCCTAGCTCGCTCGCATGTCATCTCCTCGCAGTCTCTGAATCCGGCGGTGGTGGGTGGAAGAGGAACGCCGGCAAACATCGACATGTATGCTTCTTCGATCTGCATCCGGATCAGCACAGCCAGCAGCAGCACCTGGCGGTGACGATGGCAGCAGCTCTTCGCGACCGCCACCGCTATGGCCAAAGCTCCTGTTGGATTCAGGTGCCAGTATCCACCCCAGACTCCTTTCCAACCTCTGCGGCGCGCCGGCGGGGATGAGGGTCACGGTAGCGAACGGCAACACGTTGCCCGTCACCAAGATCGGCGACATACAGATGATAGACTCAGGTTTCACAATCCCTGGTGTTTACCTTGCGCCAGGACTCAAATCAGACCTCATCAGCGTCCGTGAGCTCACGAGGAGCAGGATCTGCACGTGGTTTGATGGAGACCGTGCGACGCTGTACGCGGCTCCTCGGCACGCGGGAGCTTCGGCTCCACGCTTGGCTGGCTAAAAGCGCTCCTCCACGAGAGACTATTTAGTGCGGGGCCGACGGAGAAAGCCGCATGTTCGCAATAGAATTCAGAGAGAACGGAGGAGGCAAAAGGGGAACAACCCAGGGAGAAAGAGGTAGCTGCCGGAGGACAAATTGGTATTTCAAATTCTGTTACATCACATCTAGAATAATCGGTTCTTTTACATCACATTTTTCCAAATATGCTCAATGGGGTTTTATTTCAGAGTAGAATGGTGGAATCAAAAGTTAATTTAGATGATCTCAGTTTGGATGTTACCAAGTGTAGTCTGTGATGCAAACATCATGGCCGCGCGTCATCAGCAAAGTTCAATTTCATCAAGCACACTATAGCTCATTACTACACAACAATGTTTTAAAGTGGTTACAGACTTGCTACACACAAGTACGTTTGCTATACCTGTAGATGCCAAAAGACATAGGGATAAATGCATACATGTACGATAGGACAATAATGTTGTATACAAGGAAAATAGCAGATGAAAGGCTGCACCCCTGTTATCTTGTGACAAGGAAGATGTATGTATTGACCATGTCATGTTGGCGAGCTATCTTCACAGGCTTTGTCGTGTGGGATATTGAGGAACTCGAGGTGGTACAGGCCACCGTCGGCGTGCAACCGGCCTTTCCCGACGATTTTACTGCTGCTCTGCTCCATGACAGAGCACTGGCCGCCGCCGAACATGGCGAGGTAGCCGCATTCAGCTAGCTGCTGCACGGAGACCAGGTTGAGTCCGGTACAGAGGTCTGGGACACACCGCGCGTTGGGGATACGGAAGTTGTCGCAGGATACGGTGCCGACCCCGGCGACGGTGAGCACCCTCCCGTCGAGAACGACGGCGAGAATACTGACACGTCGCGGACCACGTGGGAGGTTGCCCTCGAATCCAAGATGAAGAAGCTGGTACGTGGAGGAGCTACGGACCACGGCCTGAGCCCTGGCGTGTTCATCTGCAAGGTGCACTCCTCATGGCTGTGCTTGGATCGCTCGTCTGGGCTGGGGCTGATGTCTTGTTTGCCATCTTTAGCAATATCTTGCTCTGATGATCCCGTATAACAGGTTTTCGCCACTTGCAGAAGCCTTCGTTTTGGTTGCTTCGGTCTGCCAAAATAATTTGGTTGTTCAGCTATCAGCGATCGATGTGCATGCACGGTGCTGAACATGCTCAGCAATCACCATGGGGGGTAATAAACGCATCTGGTCATGAGGAGATACTGAGACACAGGATTATTAAGGGCGTCCTTTTTTCGTGCGTACCTGGTACATAGGAAGATGTCGTCTGGTGCGAGATCACCGATCTCCGATAAGATACTTGTTTCCAAGGAGGAGTAGGAGGAGGAGGAAGCAGGAGATGGCGATGCCATGGCGGTGAGAATGAAACCTCTGTTCAAGAAGTGGGTATGGCAACAAGACGATGGAAATCGTCAGGTTACAGACGAAGAATTGAGCGGGTAGGCCCAACGATTCCGCCAACCAATGGACGACTTGTTCAATGAACCTCTGTCCAAGAAGTAGCTCTTTTGCGACTTGCTCAATGGTTTACTGCTGCCATGGACGACTTGGTGTGCTCGCTCAATGAGGAATTGAGGACAGAGAGCTTAATTAGATTTAACTAATTAAGCACGCAAGAGCACTGCAGCCAGTGAGAAGGGTGTGGGTTTGGTGGCTGGCCTTTTGTCACTCTTGTTTTTTGTTTATTAGTTCACTTTCCAAGTCCCACCGGTAACTTCGCAGCCAGTCAGACTTTTACAGCCTGGGACGCGCTCGCTAGGGCATGTACAGCCCATCTGCGTGTTGTATATTTTACAAAAGAACCGGTTCCTGAGGAGATGAGCTCTCCTTGCTCGTGGTCAAAGGACCTCTTGTCTGTCTAGAGGAGTGTTGTACAGGGTAGGCTACTCGAGTCGATGAGCGAGAGGATCCAGTATTGCGGCAGATGGATTTTGCGTGCCAAATCCACCGCAGTCTCCATATATTCTTCGTTTGTTCTTCCCGGGTATGTTTAACACCAGCGAGATGGACCACCCCCGCACGCCACCGGATTCAGGGTAGAAGAGTACGGGCGCGGCAGCGGCGGTGGGGCGAAAGGGCAAGGTTCAAAGCAGCAGCTACGTAATCGGCGTTCTCCGTTGGTCGGGGATCCAGCTCGGCGGCAGGCCTCATTCCCGTTGGCCGTAGATTTGGCTCGGCGGCTGGCCTCTTCCCCGTTGGCCGTGCATCCGGCCTGGCAACGCCTCTCTTCCATCAGCAGCGGGAACAGCACAGTGTCGACATCGTCCTTATCCATGGCTGCATCCGGCGCGGCTGAATCCTCCTCTATGCATGGGCGGCTTCACTAGCCATGGCGCTGGTGGCTTCACCGGAACTACTTCACCGCTTGCTAGATTTCCATTCCCTCCATCTCCATCTCCGGGTTAGTTGGTGGGGCTCGGACGGCGCTAGTCGAGCGTCTTTCTCATTTCAGCGTTCAGACGTACGCACCCTTCTTCTTGTTGTAGTGATAAGAGGAAAAAAGAAGATTTAATCCTTGTTATATATTTCCTCAATCTCAAATTGAAACAACTTATAGAGTTGTTCTAAGTCAAACTATTTAAAGTTTGATCAACTTTATAGAAAAGGCACCGATATTTATGATATCAAATTAGTATTATTAGATATATCATAAAATATATTTTCATAATTTATTTATTTAATATGTAGATGTTATTAATTTTTTTATATAAAGTTAGTCAAAACTTAAGATAGTTTGATATTCGGTGATTCTAAAAATTGATTTATTTTTACTTCGGATTCATTGTCTTCTTTATACTTAAATGTTCACTGAACGAGAGACGGCTGTAAAAGTGGTCTATAGATAGGATGATGCTTCCATTTCTAGGATTCTTCCATTTCTCGCACGTACGTACATCCCAAAATTCACCACATAAGTCGTTGAATACAAAGAATACAAAATAAATAATTTCAAAACAAAAAGTTTAATTAGAGGTCCTCCATCTCTAGGCCCATCCCGATTCCTCTCTTCATCATGTTTCCTCTCCCTTGAAACGAAGCAGCCCATCCACTTCCATCCTGTGATTGCGGTCCAGGCCGCAATTTCCTCCACTCCTAGGCTTGGTCCGACCAGAGCCTATCGTCCCATTTCGGCCCAAAAGCCTACCAATGCCCTACTCCTATCCATATCGCTGAACGCGTGCAAGACGCTCAGTAATGTTGCTCCAACTTGCAGAGTTGCAGTCAGCGTTCCACAACGACTTCCCAAGTGCTGGTAACATATAACAACCAAATAAATGTTTTGTGTTATAATACAAAAGAAAACTAAAAACTAAAAAAAGAACACAAAATGTTTTAGAGAAAAAATGAACAAAATTAACTAGATGATTAGTCTAATTCTTAGGCTAGAAAAAAGATTATTGTAATAACTGGAAGTCTAATCCCAAATAATGTAGCTGTTATTAGAGATCAATTCAGAATGAGTGTAAACAAGAAAGCAGTAATTATATTTAACAAAATAATTAGAGGGTTACTGTGGGAACAAAAGAGATGGAAAAAATAATAGGAAGTCTACTTCTTAATTATACAAGATGCTATAGAGATTAATATGGAAGAGAACAAGAAATGAAAGTACAAATAATATCATTAACTAGTTAATTGAAGTATCAAATAGCCAAGAAATATATACGATAATTTTTTTTATTACATATTTCTTAATATAATTTTTGAGTAACAAATCTGTTGTGTTGTTAGGGGGTGGGGGCATGGCCCCTACCAGTCCCCTTGGCTCCACCCCTGGCTGTAACCAAGTCCACCCAGCTTTGACACAGGGAAGATAGTTTTTATTGGCCGTGTTGGGCTGGGCTAAAGTAACGGCTGCTACAACCATTCTACAATATTTCGCTGACAGATTCACAGCCACAGCTGTAGCAGCAGCTGTCACTTTAGTTCAAGCGAAAGGAGCCATTGATGTCGATTGTTTTTTTTTAAAGTTGGGACATAGAGGACATCATCCATCATCTTAGGGGCGGGCCCAGCACTAGGGCAAATAGGGCCACCGCCCTAGTCGTGGCCCAAGTAACGAGGGGGTAGTTCTTCACTTATTTGGCCCATTAGACACTAGCCAAACAAAGGCCTTGTTTAGTTTCAAAAAGTTTTTCCAAAAAGTGCTACAGTAACCATCACATCGAATCTTACGATACGTGCATGGAGCATTAAATGTAGACGAAAAAAACTAATTGCACAGTTTGGTTGAAAATCGCGAGACGAACGTTTTGAGCCTAATTAGTCCATGATTGAATACTAATTGCCAAATAAAAACGAAAGTGCTACAGTAGCCAAATTCTCAAATTTCATCCAACTAAACGAGGCCAAAGGAGTCCAACTAAAGCCAGGGAAAATAGGCTAGGGGCAGCGCTCGCGCATGTCCGTCGGAGTCACGCTGCCTCGCTTGTCGGGATTGGAGTCGCGCTGCACGCCGGTCGTCCCCTCCGCCGCTCTGCACTCCCCCTCCGCTAGGTGGCTTGGCCCTTGCCCCTCGCCCCTTGGCCAGTCACTGGCTGGCCACCGCCCGTCGACTGCTGCCCAAGCCCATCGCCCCACTCAGCTACCCGCTCCAGCCAAGCTGACGATGCAAATGCACCAAATGGTCACTAGGTATTTATTTTTCAATGTTCCGTGATATTCTTTAGCTATTGTACCCTACTATCTATTAATTACGTAGTTGAAGAACTTTTCTCAATTTGTGAACTTTCTTGGGTCATATAGAGTTTATAGACTATAGTGTAGCTTTTGGTTTTTGGCCGCTAAAATTTGGCCCCAGTCTGTTGTGCCACAGCTCATGACATATGGACCCATATAGCCATGGACCTAGCTTCATTTCCAAAGATAGTGGGATGTGTCTCGGATGCGATGTATGGGAGATCCCGAGTCCATTGTGGACATGTTCAGCATAGGTGCTCGATCAGCTGGCAACATATGGTTCCTCTGACACCGCGCATCTTATGTATATAAAATGGGGCTTCCTTTCAGGATCTCTCTTTTGTACAAGTGATGTGATACATCATCTTAATGCAGGAGTGAAGGGAACCAAAGCACCCTAGCTAAGAGCAAATAAGCACGACCAAGGTGGAAAAAGGGATATATATGCGAATGGACCTGGCCAGAGGAAATTTTCTAAAAACAAGACAACAAATTCAAATCGCGAACTTTGAAACTGTTTTACCTTATCTTACCTAAATACAATCAATGAAGCATGTACCAGTATTTAATTTGCCACAACCCACAAGGAACCATATATATGACCTCAGGATTCTCTTATATATTTGTGCAACAGAGGTACAGAGTACAAATGACTCTGTTCCGCAACAGATGGCCTCAAAGAAACGATGCAGCCAATGCAATTCCCATCTCAGAAAAATTGTGCGTCACAAAAGTTGCAGAAAATCAACCTGCAACAACTATTATATCCATCTATACAACAACACTTTGGGGCTGCAGTGTACATCAACGGCTGTTTCTGCTTGTTTACAAAACATCTACATGGACGGCCCCTGTGGGTTCAGTCCCAGGCGATGCAAAGCTGAACAGACAGCATTCCACATCCTGGTCACAAGCCATGGCTGCTCTGGCACACGAGTCCTGTCGTGTGGGATCTTCAGGTAGTCCACGATGTACTTCCCGTCGACGAGGCGTCCCTCCCCTACGATCCTGCCAGTCTTGAGGTCCGTGACAATGAACTTCCCCCGGCTGAATTCGTACCTATAATCATCGTTGTCTAGCATGGACCCGGAGACAATGATTCTGTTTCCCAGATCAGGGCAGTACTGGACGTCGGTCAGCTCGAAGTTCGCCTGATGCACAGAACCAGACATGATGGTTTCCATTTCCCCGTTATTGGCGGCAACAAGGACAACATTGGCTTCGGCCATGTTATCAAGGATGACCAGTGGCATGTCATTGTAGGCTGAATCGGTTTCTCTGCCCAGGTGAGATATATATATCCACTTAGTGTGTGTGAACAAAATAGACGGAAGGAATCCAAGCATGGAACAACAAATGGGCACAACCTAAGGGGCCAAGTAATTACACGCCCAGTACAAATTTCCAAAAACAAGGCGACACAATCACACAAAATCTGGAGCACTAAAGGCCCCATAATTCAACACGTGTAAATAGTAGTGCTCCTCTCTAGCTCCAGTTTCGGCTCTTCCGGAGGAGCCCTACCAAATGGTTTAGTAAGAGAAGCTGATTGGAGCCATTTTTCAATGAAAAAAAATGAGGAGTCCTTAGGGAGAGTACCAGAGGAGCCCTCCCAAACAATGCCTAAAACTTGAAGTCCTATCTATGGCAGGAACTCAGTTAATTTTTTTAA